TAATGACTGTAACTCTGGAGGGAAGACCCATCAGCACATAGCCTTTTGGGTTTTTTTATGCTTCACCGGGATCTATCTAATACACATGCTCCGAACATGAAAGCGGCTTGACAGTACAAACCGTTCCGTTGTGAGAAAGCATAGAGTCTTAGTTAACAACTGACAAAAGATCATCACACACATTTTCATCTTGTTTGAATATATCTTGACAAATTTCAAGAGATGACAGCGATACTGATGTGTATGTTAATCGATCTACTACTTTTTTCATCCATCACATTTTATCCTAGATGTTCTTCAAAAAAATTAATTTTTTTACACAGGAAAATAATCAGAAAAAACGTTCAAACTTTTACTTGGAAACATAATGAGGTAATAACTACAATATTTATTCACTTTTTTTGTAGAAATTGGGTGATATAGATCTCGATTATTGTCCCGATGATGATAGTGTTCAATATCCAATTGGTGGTCAGATACCGATTGAACAATTATCAATTATTGAATTACATGATCAAGTTAATATCACTGCTATTGAAATTGTCGTTAATAGACCGAACGATGATATTAAAAATATAAATAATCATGATGATAATGATATTGTTTTACTTGGTGATGATAGAAGTTCATTGTATATGGTAAGTTTGCATGATGTGTTAGTGAATGCTCTAAGGCAGTCCGTATCAATAATAGCAATCAGTGCATGACTACTTGTATGGTAAACGACAGACTTTTCTTTGACATTATTTGTGTATTAAATATGCATAAAACTACGAGTTTATTAAAATTTTCAAGGAAAAAGGAAATCGTTTACGAAAATGACACTTTTTGTACTTTTAAAATATTTTACGACTTCAATATGGGTTTAAAATTTCGGAATGGCTATTGACGGTCTTGGAGTGTCAGCAAGGAGCTATTGACATCCCTTCAGACTGGCAGCAAAGAGCTCTTGACAGCCCAAAATGCACTTACACACTGCATAAATGCGTTATTCAAAATGTTATGTTAAAATTAATTCCGAATTTTACGGTTTATGAGATGTGGTTTAGGGTAGGTGGGGTGGCTGTACATGAGAGTGACCCACTAGTAAAAACTTCCATGTTACGTAGAGATGATGGTCTGCTTTGAATAAAACTTTAATCCAGTGGATAAGTTCCATTTTGGACTGGCAATAGCTTCTTGCTGCCACCCCGGGAGTGTCAATAGACCTATCCTTAAAATTTTCATTCTAGGATTCAATAAAAGGTGCAGAATTTTTGTCTAGTTTACAATATGTTTGATTTAGAATAAATTCTTAGGGTTCCTTTGAAACTGTCGAAATAATAAACTCCATTAAAATATATTACTGTGACACCTTGTTTTCTTTATAGTAGAATTATTTCCTAGTATGACACTATGTCGTTTTGAATTGAGCCTGTCAATAGAAAGTGGAAAGTATTCTCTATAAATTTAAGTTATCAGAAAAAATTTTGTAATCATATCTGTGCCTTTTAAATCATACAAAAAAAAATATATAATTTTAGTTGTTCATACTTTTCATTTTCGAGATAAAAAAAGCCTGAAATTTGTTCTCTTTTGTTACAAAACTAACTTATTGTTATTTATCCTATTTTATAGTGTTTTGTAGAATTTGAAAAGTCAAATCTTTTGCTGCTAAAGTAATTTATTTTTATAACTATATGTGATAGAAAAATCTCGCTTTTGAGAAGGCCACTTTTATTTTCAAAAAAATTTCAAAGTAACCAGAAGGATTTATTTTAAATTCATCATATCGTTGAAAACTCGACAAAAATTCTACATCTTTCATTAGATCTAGAACGAAAATTTCAAAATCATTTAAGAGTGGTAAAATTGATACATGTTAGACACAAGAGATTGAGAAATATATTGTCAGATTTTGTAATATATCTATCTTTTAGTTTCAAAAATCAAAATCGACAATCATTCAAAAACGTGAAATTTTATCAAATTATTCACAATCAGTCATACTATCAATGAAATTTATGAATAAAACAACTGGTGAACTTTTAATATTAACAAATAATGAAGTATTTCAAACTTTCTTTTCTTTTTTTAAGTTTTATTCTTAATGATCAAATATATGTTTTTTGTACTTTCTAGATGATAAAAGAAAATTTATTTGAATGCGATAAACATCAGACATGTAATGAATGTTCAATGGCAAATAATTTTAATTGTCATTGGTGTTCAGAACAAAATAGGTAAAAATAAATCATAGAAATATATAATCAAATTAATTATAGACAAATTTTTGTAATCTAGATGTACATCCATATTTCAATGTCCAAGTAGTGTTAATCATCATAATAATGAATTCAATATGTGTATGAATATTGAACATGTCACACCAAATACGATTACATTGAATAAGTCGAGTTCATGGGTAAATGAAAGATAGAAAAAAAGAAATTATCTATTACAATTACTAAATCTTATTCCTTTTTTTTTTCTATTTTACAGATTGATATTACACTTAGTTCGTCATTAGAATTACTTTTTCGAAATGATTTATATTTATGTCAATTTACAAATGAAAAAAATATCAATCAATTATTAACAACAGCTGTTTTATTGAAAAATAATGCTCTCTATTGTCCAACACCACTGTCATATAGTTTTAATGGACATACATCTGATAATAAACGTATGTATCTTTTAAACGTTTTTATTTTTCATTTCAGAATGTGCACTTGTTCATCATAAATTCTCACTTTTATTTTTTTTTTTTTAGCTCTTCATAAAGTTCAATTGTCGATCTATCATAATAAAACAAAGTCAACATTTGGCTCCTATCAATTAACATTTTATAACTGTAGTGCATTTCTAACATGTTCATCATGTACAAATAATGTTAAATCTTCTTCATTATGTTCATGGTGTATAACAACAGGAACATGTATTGATAGTTCATCAATTTGTCAAAATGAATTAAAACGAACTAAAATATCAATTTCAAATCAAGAAGATTGTCCAATTATGTATTTTACTCAACAATATCGAATTCCATTTGATAATTTTGAAACATCAATTGATATTCAAATTGAACAATGTAACAATAATAATTCAATTATTAATTTACAAAAAATCAATTATTGTATGTTACGTGATTTTAGAAAACGTTCATCATTAATTACAAAACAATATAAATTAATTCAAGTAGAGACAAATGGAGATGATTTATGTTTATTAACATGTCGATTTAAGTCAACTGATTATCATCAACAACAACAACAACAACATATGTTAGCTCGTAAACCGTTAAATTTAGAATTATCTTTATATTTGGCTAATAATTCACTATTAATACCAAAATATTATTCAACATCACAAATTCAAATGTATAAATGTGAAAAAATGGCATACAATTGTTCATTATGTTTAAATTTACATGCATCATACAATTGTGTTTGGTGTAAAAATGGATGTCATCTGAGTGGAACAGTGTGTGATAAAACAGTAACAAGACAACAATTATGTATTCCACCTCAAATTGAAACTATTAAACCAATTAATTATCCAACAAATGGTGGTACATTAGTGACAATAACAGGAAAATATTTAACAACAATAACAAATGATAGTCCAATTGATATTCAACTAGCGGGTATAAAATGTGAATTAATTAGAGAAGAATCAACTTCTCACAAGTAAGTTGTCTAAATCTAAATAAAACAAATTGATAATAATAATTATCTTTCTAATATATTAGATTAATATGTCGTACTGGAGATGCTGAACAAAATATCTCAGGTCCAATTAAAGTGACAATTGATGATCAACATAGTATTAGTGATCAACAAGTATCGTATTTGATGCCCATTATTGAATCAATTGAACCATTGGCTGGTATTCTCAGTGGTGGAACAATATTAACTATAATTGGACGAAATTTTACTCTTGGTAATCAATTTGTAATAATAACAATTGGTGAAAGTCTATGTAAAATATTAGACATAAAAATAAATATTATTCAATGTCAAACATTGTCATTTGAACGTACGGGAAATAAATCGATTACTATCACATTCGATGAACAAACACATATTGTTTATCATCAACAATTTTTTCATGTTGTTCATAATCCTACTATTGATCTTGATAATCTTGTTCCCCAACAAAGTTTTGCTAGTGGTGGAAGACGAATACATATAACTGGAACGAATTTTCATTTTCTTCAACAAATTAAAATGGAATTTTCACTAGAAAAAGGAAAATCAATTGTTTATGTATCATCCGTACAATATTTAAGTAATTCAACGTATCTTGTTTTCTTAACACCTTCCTATAATGATTTTAATTTAACAAGATCAGAATTAAATCCACTATTAAATGTTAATATTAAACTTTATATCGATGGTTATAATTTTACACATCCATCATTTTTTCTTCATTATGTCAATGATCCAATTATTTATGAATTCGAACCACCACTGATTCGTCCCTATTCCAGTGAACTAGTGATCTATGGAAATAATATGACATTAATCGGTCATACAATGAATGATGTTTTTGTACATATTGGATGTGAGATTTGTCCAATTATTTATTTTTCATCAGATAAAATAATCTGTCGTCCACCGATCAGTAGACCAGCAAAACGGAGTACATCAAAGAACACGGAACGGTTGTGTTATGATTCGGAACAGCCGTGGATTATTGTTAGTATTGACAACATTCACTCACTTGTGGGATATTTACTCTATCCAAGAAAGATTATTATCTTAGGTAAATATTGAAATAATGTTCATTTTATTTAAAGACACTTCTCTCCCGGACTTTTGGCTACTTGTAAAATCTTTGCCAAAAAAAACCAAAAGTGAAAGAAAAAGCGTTCATATCTTTAGGATACAATGGAAAAATCTTTTGTATGCTTTTTTTCTTTTGTTTCAACTCCATCCTTGCCGACAGTTTGATAAAGCTCAGTTATTCATCGATACTAATTATAACTGTTCGAAAACTTATCTGATTAATTGACCACAGAACGTATGTCAGAAGCGATGTTTTTTTTGTTAAAAATATTGATTCCTTTATTAGCCCAAAACCGGTAGAATGGCAAGCTTTCATTTTTAAAATCCTACGAGTCATCAAGGAAAAATTTTCAAAACAACACCTCTGAACTATGCTCTGGACATGTACAGAAATGTGTGTGACACAAGCAACAGCATATGTCGACATGTTTTACGCTATAAAATGTCCTTTTAACATGAAAAAGCACTAAATAAATTTTTTCTGTATGCTCTGATGATGTGTCAAATCGATTTCCGTTACTTTTGATTTTATATTCATCTGAAAAAGAATATTTTAAACTATTGCTTTCTGTATTAAAAGATAATTTCGAATCTTTGTCGAAAATAGATTGGAATATATCTTTAATTTAATTTGTTTTCATTTTCAGGTGTTGTTAGTGGATGTTTATTAACAATTTTGATTGTTGTTATCATCATCCTCATATTTATTTGTTTAAAAATGCGTTATGAACAACATAAGCATCAATGTATTTACAATGATAACAGTAATAAAAAGAATAAAAAGTCATATATTGAATATCGAAAAGGTGGTACAAATTTAATTTATCAACAAGTACCATTAAAACAGAGTAATGTAATTGAACCAATCTACAGTCAAACAATGTCTCCAATTGTTTCATTATTACCAATTCGTTCCTATATATCCTATTTACAAACATATTTTGTTCGAAAACACCAATTATTAAATAAACCATACTTTTCATCATCATACGATACTCCAAAACATCTTATATATTCACCAACAGATGATTTAATTGAAAATTTTCAATTATTTTTAAAAAATGAACAGTTTCTATTATCAATACTTCATATTTTGAGTGACGATGATATTGGTGATAAATTATTGAGTATAATTGTTTTAACACAAAGTGAAAATATTCAACAATTTTTAAAAATTATTTTAACATTTGAAAATGAGAAAAAACGTCATAATTTATATTATGATATATACGCTTTAATTAGCTATGATTATTTAAAAAGTTATGTGGCAAATATCTATTATCAATTATATACAATATTAAAATCAAAAATGAACAGTGGACCATGCGATTCAATTGAAAATTTATCCTACTATACATTAAATGATCGAACATTGCTCAAAGATACCACAATTCCATTTAAACATGTACAATTATGTGTTCACATTGAATTAACAGATGACAAGTAATATATTATTAGATATCTCTTAGACATATGGTTTTGAAAATATTTTCTTCAAAAATTTCATAAAAACTGAAAATGAACAAAGATTTAAGTTTAAATATTATAAAGAAAATAGAATATTTTAATTATTTTAATTCTTCTCTCTCTCATATCGTTCTACTTTAATCAAAGGTGTACGCTAATAACTCTTTTTCTAAACATATCTCTTCTATTTAGATCCTATGATTTCATTCGTATTCAATGTATCACATGTGATACAATAACACAAGTCAAACAAAAACTCATTGATGAAATATTTCAATGTTTACCCTATTCAAAACGTCCAAATTACAATAATTTTGATCTAATTTTATTAACAACAAAACTAACAACTAATACATCATCGTGTTCATCTTCATCGTCGTGTTCGTCCACAAATTCATCTTTACCATTGACTCGTAAGGCAACAAATGTCACAAAAAACTTTTGGTTTTCTCGAACTATTACTATACCACCTAAAAATGATCAACATCATCATCACCATCATCATCAACAACAACAACAACACCAACAACAACAAGAATTCATTGTATTGAACGATATTGATAATACAAGTGAAACAAGTGGTCATATGAAAAAATTGAACACATTACAACATTATGGTATCGTTCAAGATGGATACGAACTAAAATTTCAATTAATTAAAAATAATGATCATACATTATCAAAATATGACAAACATGACACTAGAATGCTAAAAAATGAATTTATTGATACTAAAATACCGTCACCATTAATAACTCGTACCATAAAATCATTGACCAATAATCATCAATCACCGAATATTACTGCCAATCGTTTATCATCACCATGTCGTTATTGTTCGCATACATTGTCTTTGAATAATGAGAAAAAAGAATTTAGTTTTAATTCTTTTTCATTGACATCGACATCAACTGAACAAGAAAATACTCGTCTATTTCATTTATCAAATCATACATATGAAGAAATTCATGATAGTCGTGATTTAATGCTTCGAAATAGTGATACATGTCGATTATATGAAACAAAATTATTAATTAACGTCCATTTATTAACATTAATTGAAAATATTTTTGTTAACAGTGATGAGTTTATTCTTAAATATTTCATTGGTGATGAATCGTTTATTTATGAGTTTTTTCATCTTTTTTATGCTCATTTTATACCGTTTATTATTCATAGTTTAAATTGTTTACTCGATTTACAACCAAATCCATGTCTAGAAAGTTCATTTGAAATAATTTCCATTCTAATTCAACTTGGATGTTATCCAACAGAAGGTCATTTTTTTTGTTCATTATGTGAAAATACGAGTAATGATGATACAAATATGGTATGTATTTATTTATATCATCAAAAATGTCATACACTTGAATTATTTCATTTTTTTTGTCTATTTTTAGAATATTCAAAATTGTACATTATTATTTACTGACGAAATTGAACGAATTCGTCTATTATATACGAATAGTCAACGTCGATTAATAAACAAATTGAGGATGAAACATAGTAATCCTGACTATTTTACAACAAATAAAATGTCAAATGAACACCATTTTGAACTTGATCGATCAGTTCTAAAGGAATTGATACAGTTTTCATGTTCACATGTCGAACAGGTATGTTGAAGAAAAATATCATTGAATTCATATGTCAATATTATTTTTATTTTTATTTTAGATTGTAAATGGAATTCAGCATACAGATCTTGTATTTAATTTTGTGACGTTTGTTGAAATGTGTCGAACAAAACCGTCATTATCAGTGAACAAAGTTTTTTAGTTTGTTAAATACGATTTTTTTTTTATCTACTCAGAATGTTTTACTTCTTGGTATACAATTTTTCTTTTTATAAATGTCTCTATTGTTTTTTTTCCTACAAACATAACAAAATCAGTATTAATTATATATAAAAACATATATTCATGGCATCATTATCTGTACATGTACTATTTTCTGGATAATGAATCGAAACATCCAGAAAATAATACGTGAATTGTGGGAAGTTGCAAAAAGATGGAACAACAAACTGGTGTAGATTACTAAAACATCATTAATTGTGAAAACGGCATCTAATTCATTGATAATTGTGAAGAATGTGTGTTCAAATTGTAGTGAGAAGTAACTTGTAAAGGCGAATGAGTAAGACGTGACAATTCATTGAGAAATATGCGTTAAGAATCAGTCACCATCGATTATAGGAGGTGCTCATTCATAACATTATTGAAAATCACAGAAATATTGAGGGGAATTCTCTCATGTAGATTTGATTCAAACTTTTTTATGCCCATTTTTTAAAATTTAAATAAAATTTTTATTTTTCTGTTTGAAATCTCGGTTTTGTAACTAATCGACAGATGATTGCAACATACTTTATTTTGCATATATCTGTCCAGAAATATGGTAAGATTTTAATTTCTGTTTTAGAAGATGCGTCATTTAGTTCTCTACAGAAAACATATTGAACATTTTCTATATACCTTAAAAAATAAGAGAATATGGAGGAAATACAGCAAATATGCAATCTCGACTACTTCCTAGGCCAAAAAACACGGAGAAACAAATTTACTTTGAGCACGGTGACATACAAGTGGAATAAAATCAATGTTCAGGTGTTCCTGAGTGTCGTCTTTCTTTTCGTATATCACAGGTTCGCTTTAAACGTGTTTTTCTTGAATAAAAAGCGCTTTTTCAGAAACTCATCCTTAAACACGAGAAAATTTGACTTTTTCGTCTTCACACAGTAGAAATAGCGGATCTATAGAACTTTTGCCGTTCGGATGTTAAAGCAGACTTATTTTCCTTCAAAGTAAAACAAATTCAATCTTAAAATGTTTGATTCTGGCTGAGTTATGAAATTTTTCCTAAGTGGCTCAAAGTTTGAAACTGATGATTTTTGGCAAAATCGCTCTCAACCTCTTGTGATTATGAAGAACTTAAAATACTGCAAGTTGGTAGAACTTTTCAATGGCTAAAAAATGGCCGTCGCCTGTTTTATTATGTTGCAAAACGTAAAGGACCACAATTGAAAAAACTGTTTTCTGGCCGAGGAAGTAGTCGAGATTGGATATTTGCCATATTTCCTCCATATTCTCTTATTTTTTAAGGTATATAGAAAATGTTTAATATGTTTTCTGTAGAGAACTAAATGACGCATCTTCTAAAACAGAAATTAAAATTTTACCATATTTCTAGACTGAGATGTATGCAAAATAAAGAATGTTGCAATCATTTTGGCGCACTCGGTATATGTGAAAAGATTGTCGTCGTCTCCGGACAAGGTTTGATGGAAAAATTCGACCTTGAGAATGGATTTTGGGGACCAAAAGTGCGCTTTTACGAGATATTGCCTGCAGCTTCTCTGCGGAAAACCATTGTGGAGCGGAAATATAAGTGTAGAAGTTTTTTATCATGTTTTGAATGAAGTTTCTAATGAAATTTTAAAAATGGGGTACAAAAAGTCAAAAATAAATGACAATTTTTTTGAATAAAAAATGTAAGTCTGCAAAACGAAAAAATCTTTGAAACATATCCTTCGAAGTGGCCTCTACAAGCTGATATAAAGAAACGGATGCCTCTCACCCTCAAATAAAAATATCAATTTACTATAAGCAAAAGTCTTAATTGTTTTAATTATATAAAATTACGCTTTGTCAACCTTTGATGAAATGAACATTTATTAGCGAAAACTTACTTTGCTCAGGTTAATTGAGAGCAAGCAATCCTAATTAAAAGTTCAAGGATGAAAAAAGTATGTTCTAGTACCCCGCTCTACTCTACCTTTAATCAGTAGAATAAAAAGTCGTTAATAAATTTTTAGTTTGGTTGTTTTAACATTAGAAAAGAAGAGAAAAAATTCAGAATTCCTCATTTGTATTAGCATTGAACAGGTTCTTGTTTGTATATGTCAATTAATTTTATTGTAAAACAACTTTTTATGGGACTCCATCGACCATAATATGCCAGTATAGAGTGAGAAATACAAAATGAACTTTAGTCCGCAACGTTTGTTCTTCTGTATACCTTCGATAGAAGGCCGTCAGAGTAAGCTAGTGAGTGATTTGAAAGCTAACGCAGACATTTTGAATAAGTATGTTGTATCTCTATGTACAATAAGCTCTTAAGAAGTGAACGACATCTCTCAATAAATTAAATCTAGTTAATGTTCTTGGTTTCATAAATAGAAGTATTTTATATATTAAGTATAGTTGATTATTTTAAGGTAACTCTAACTGGTATTTCGTTTAGAAGATTAAAAGAAAGCTTTTGATCAATTTTGAATATGCTAACGTATGTTTTTAATAAATCGTTTATTTTGACTTAATATCTTTATCTTGCGAAACCAGCTATTTAACTATGATATTTAAGGCCCACCCCCCACCCAAAAATCCATTTCTGCTTACGAGCATCCGATCTTAATGAAACTTTCAGAGATGGTGTATCTAGGTATGATGACCTCACAGTAAAAATTTCAGCTCGAAATATTAAAC